CTGCATTCAAAATGTACTTGAGTGAAAGTAAAAAAGTTTTAGCATCACAATAGAGTACCAAAAGTAAAAATACTCCTAATGCAGAATGCAACTTTTAAGCACCATATATACAGTGGGGCAAAAAAGTATTTAGTCAGCCACCAATTGTGCAAGTTCTCCCACTTAAAAAGATGAGAGGCCTGTAATTTTCATCCTAGGTATACCTCAACTATGAGAGACAAAATGAGAAGAAAAAAAAATCCAGAAAATCACATTGTCTGATTTTTAAAGAATTTGGTACCACTTTACAATAAGACTACCCTTATAAAGGGTTTACGAATAGTTTGTAATTAATTAATTAATTAGGTTTTGAACACTTTATAAATCATTAATAAGCTTGTATAAGACAGGAGATAAACAGGGCAACTGTGACCGGTTGCTTGCCAAATAGTGAGCCCACATTTATCTGTACTGCTCGGTATTGCTAAGTCTTATAATGGCTAATTAGCGTACTTCGTCTTCTTCATCAGCCAGCATCCTTGGTATCTGTTGCTCACTGAGTTCTTGCTACGAAGCCAATATAAGGCTTAGTCATATTGCCAAATAGTGAGCCTGTGTTGATGTATAGCACTGGTTTATAAATGGTTCTTAATGATTAATAAAGTGTTTACAACCTAATTCATAACCTAATTATAAACCCTTTATGAATCCTTTATAAGGGTAGTCTTATTGTAAAGTGGTACCAAGAAGGTATTTGCAAATTATAGTGGAAAATATGTATTTGGTCAATAACAAAAGTTCATCTCAATACTTTGTTATATACCCTTTGTTGGCAATGACAGAGGTCAAACGTTTTCTGTAAGTCTCCACAAGGTATTTTGGCCCATTCCTCCATGCAGATCTCCTCTAGAGCAGTTTTGAGTTTATTTGAATAACTGTATACTACTGAGTAGCTTAACATATAATAATATATACTAATGTATACGTAGATTTTTATATTGTATTAATGATCTAAATCTGCAATTTAGTTGGTAACTATATCTGTAAAATAACTCTTTCCTACAAAATGGTAGTGGAGTTAAAGGATAAAGATAATTTGAAAAGACAGAAGTAAAGTACAAGTACCCACCTTCTTCCAAAGAGTCTCCATGCACGCCACAACAACACAAAAAAGCTTTTTCTGATTTGATGCCAAAATGTGGCCTTTGCCTCCAAAAGCTGTTACAAATCACTGTTAAAATATAATTTGTTCAGGCACAAAAACAACCTGATTGGTTTAGTGAAAGTTCATGTTTCGGGTTGAAATTATAATTGTGTTAAAGTCATGGTTTGAAGCATGGTTGAAAATAGGATATTAACCGCAGCGTAATATTTATTTTATAAAACCAATCAATCCACATAATTGGTCACTCTTTATTAATTAGTTATGAATTCTTCTTTGGTTCCCATTGATAAGGAGTAAAGCGTCCTACAGTTGCTAAATGGCTTTTTGAATTACAGTTAACATTATATTGTTTTGGTGCACTTTATTGAACCCCTTTTAAAAATCGAGTGTGTTGGATTGGTTAGCTCGTCACTGAAGCGAGGCGGGATGTTAATGGCTGTGTAGGTTGTGCTCAAATTAGATCAAAATCGCTGAGAAGAAATGTAATGTTCTCTTGACAATGCTAAAGGAGAACTTTTCTTGCAAATTCCCTCGCATACATTTACAAGAAAAGATAACTTGTTAAGGCCATAGTGATAAATAGAAGAGCTCAATGATTGTGAACGCTACATTTGTGATTATTTGATTAATCTTTTTCAATTATTCAATATTCCTCTAATCTCTCATCCCACTGCCTGCTGTTTGTTCTTCCTCCCGCCCACTTTTAACCTTCCTGCCTCCTCTCTTCTAATTTTCTGTCTTCATCTTATCCTTTTATTCTCATTTCCTCTCCTTCTCCATCAATTTTCCCTTTGTGCCATCTCTTCTTCTATTACCTCACTCTCCCTAAATGTCCTCCTCATCCTCATTCTTTTTTACTCTTGTCTTACTTCCTCTCCTCTTCCTCTTACATACACAGCTGCACGTGCTTACACACACACATACACCCGCACAAACACAGCTGTTTCTAGGTCATGAGGGGCTTTATATGAATAATAAACAACTGTCTGCTTTAAAGAGAATTATTTATAGAGCATCTAGTGTGCAAGTGAGACTCGAACACGCTCTCTCCTTCGCTCCAACCTTTTTCCTTTTTTTTTCATCGGTCTTTTTTACATGTTCTTATTTCTTGACATGTTCTTTTTTTTTTTCTGTCTATAAACAACCCTTAAGCTTTTTTACTTATTTTGTGTTGATGCTGCTACTTTATCTGTCAATTATAATAATAGTAGTCAGTCACTGTCGTCAGCATAGATATAGATATTTTCCATGTTTGATGGTCAGAGTGCTTCTCATGATTTTTGGTGAGTAACATGACATGACTAAATCAGCTTTAGGGCTAGGGCAATTAATGGTATTTTAATCGCAATTACGAATATGGCTTGCAACGATTACGAAAACAACGTAATCGAAATGAAACGATTATTTTTCTATTATTATTTTTTTTTTTTGTTTTTGAGTTGAATTATACTTAAAGTTCAGGGTAATCAACTGTTAAAAACATACTGTTCCCCTGTTTTTTTTTCAATAAATGGATGTTTTCAAAGTCAATGAATAATCGCATTTAATAATCACAATTACAATTATTAACCCAAATAATCGAGATTATGATTTTGCCATAATCGAGCAGCCCTATTTAGGGCCTCTAATTGTTGACTTCATCAATCACAGCTGTAGCATGTTCACATTCAAACATCTGCATATAAACAAATACCATGACCAATATTCAATTTATTTTTACCTATATTTTGGACTCCACTAACTCATGAGAAAAATATCTGGCTCTGAATCTGCTAAATGCTTCACTTTGTTCATCAGATGGTAACGTTGCCAGTCTCCCAGTTGGAGCACAGTGTGCAGAAGGCTTTTACTGCTTTTGTTATGCTGACAACAACTGCCTGTGACCGAAAATGATCAAACTGATGATAGAGAAATGGAGTTGATTGTGGAAAAGGAGATTTTGGTGATGAAATGCGCAGTTTGGCAAGGAGAGTGGGGAGAAAAAACACAGAGTGACTCGTCAGAAACAGACAGGATGGAGGGGGAGATGAGGTCAGCAGAAAATCAGACCTTGGCCAGACTAAAGCTTCAGGCTGAAAACACATGAGGTCATCTGGACTGGTAATACCCGCCTCTCACACTACAATGGTGGATGCCACTGTGAGAAACAAATCACGCTGTTGAGATTCCAGTGTTACTCCGAAAAATGTATATACTTGGTATTTATTTATGCATACCAACAGTGATGTTTGAAATGTTACAAACCTTATATTTTCATGTTGTATCTTTGCAAAAATGTTTCAGTATCACAATTCACATCTGACTTTGTCGTGTTTCCCCTATATATTTTATATGGGTAAAAAAGGAAACCCTTATTTCATAAACTGAATTTGTAGATAATCAGAAAATAGTATATTCCCTTCCAACTGTTCAATTTTAATTGTAAGGTTTGGTATTTTTTATGAAAATAATCTTATAAGAAAAGTGGTGATCTGATGCACAATGCACACAGTTCTTGCAGGGTTTCCCCCCAGATTGAGGGTTTTTCCTGAATCCACCCCCATCACTAAGACTTTCTCATTAGTTTTTCTGATGTTTAAAGAAATGCATAATCCAATGTAGATATATAAAGTGCACTCAGACTTAAATGAAATGCAGCACCCTTAAATCGATATACAGTACATGTATGCAATCATTGAGCTTTTGAGCTGATTATGAGTTTGGTGAATAGTTTATTTGCAGTTTAAAAAATATAATCTTCAATAATCTACAGTGCACTGCTCTCCAGTTGATAATCTCCAATTGAAACCCTGATAGATTAAAGGGTAATTTCCCTAACCTCAATCCCAGTTTGCATTTCATATGGAGAAAAAGATTATTTCAAGCAATGAATTCATTGTCTCCATCCAGACCCAGTATTTAATAACTGGAAGTTCTGACACGTTTAAATCCTCTTTAACTCCACTTCATGTACCAGATGGTCAATCACGTATACTGCTGCCTTTCAAATCCATAGAAATTAATCTAAGTACACTACCAGTGGTGGAAATTCACTAGCTTGCTTTCTTTCTGTACGTTAGTGCAAGTTTAATATGTGTATAATTTGCTCAAGTGTTTCCATTTTATGCTACACCCAAGTACATTTGGAAGATAAATGTTGAACTATCGAGGGGTTATTTTAAGAAAAGGAAAAAAAGATATATGTTAGAAATTATATATTGAATATAGTTGAAGCTGACAAGGTCGAATTTAGACGGATAAAAGCTAAAACAAGTTTGACAGTATGGAGCTGAGTTTCAGATGTCCCTTAATGGCCACCATACAGATGATACACCCTTTAGATTTGGGCCTCAGTACAAAAACTAGTATTGGAGATTTTTTTCCAGCTTTACAATACATGATGTAAATATTATTATATATATATATATTATTTCTACAAACGTAGCTTTAGTTGTAATAAATGCATTCTGACCTGCAGGTTAATAGATACCACATCAGGGTCATCACAGGAAACCGTTTAATCTGCAGATGACAGCTAAACTGTAATCTCCGTCACCTTTATTCTAACCTCAGCCTGGGAGGTCAGGGGTGAATGTGTGTGTGAATGCATATTGAGGTGTGTGGGCATTCATGTCATTTATTTTATATTATGCAGTGAGTACATAGTGCCTGCTATAAACTGTGGCAGTTGGAAAGTTTTTGTCTGGAAAAAAGACATCAGTAGAGAGGACCACAGAGGTCAAACTAAGAGAGACATTTTGTTACAGTGTGTGAGTGTTTGACTTTGTAATATGTGTGAAGTTTTAGACCGGAAAGTGAGGACATTTAGTCTTGGTTGTAGAATTAGTTTTAGATAGATAGGGAGTGTATTAGGCCAATGGATGTCCTCACTAAGTGGTATGAAACTGTGTTTGTTAAGGATGTGCATTTGTATTATCAAGGCAGAGACAGACAGAGTTCCCACAGTCATTAATCAAACTCTGTAATCTGCTTTACACACACACAGTTGAGCAAATAACGCAGCTCTTAGTCTTCCTAAAGAGGGTTGTAACACTTGTGTCTGGTGACGATGGGAGTCACTTGTTCTGTTGACCTCTGTTTTCTTGGCCATCTTCACCAAGAATCATCTGTTTTGTTTTCTAATGTTTATTAGATATTAGCATGGTTGTGTTGTGAGTACTAGCACCTGTTTACAGGAAATGCTAATTCACACATAGCAAAAAATGAGCCTGAAATACTTTTTGATATACAGTGGAAGAGATGGCTCCTTATAAACAGGAAAGCACTCCATGCTCCTGTTCTGTTGCACTCAGAGGGATGTACTTACAACTGTTGTTAACTCCTACCTCTTGATCATAGATAGTAGTGGTTAAAATGCACTTAAGTCAATTTGGGCGAAAGTGTCTGCCTACTACATTTGTATTATGTGAAAACAAGAATCTACATGCTATCTGCTCCCTGAGATGTTTCTGGGCACATTGGGGCTTTAGCTAGATGCTAATATTGGCCTCTAACATGCTGATGTTTTGCAGTTATACAATGTACTATGTTGTGTGTTTTAGCATTCTAAATGTACATGCCATACTGTTATTGTGAACATAGTAAACACTATAATCACAAAAAATATGTGTTTTATTGTGAAGTTAGCATATTAGCATGCTCATGTTAGTGCTTGGCTACTGCAATGACTGTTGAATTCAAGTATTGTAGCCTGAAGCATCGCTACATTGATTATCCATTGTTGGACTAATTCATTCAGGCCTATTGAAAAATGCATTGCAGTTAAATCAATGAATACATACATATGTTTTAGTCCTTTAGAAAAACACATGCCAAATTATACTGTATTGTTTCTGAAGGGGAAACTTTGTCTTGTTTTTTCACACATACTCTCCCTCTCTTTCTAACAGGGCCTTGTACTCGTATGAGGATGAAAGCGATGATTTGAAATTGGCATCATCAGGAGGTACGTTTTAAATGTTTTATCATCAATCCAGTCCATTAGTTTCATCTCTCTCAAATGACGCATCTAGCTGTTCTCTTTCTTTGTATGTCTTGATGAACATGGCTGTGGATAAGCATGTTAACACCATGTGTGGCGCGGCTGTAATTTGCTGCTGCAGACCTGCGGTTGTAACTTTTGATGAGCTCTGCAGGATCTGCTGCTGCTTTGGGGGAAAAACGATCTTTGTTCTCCTGATTGTTACTGAGCCATCAGAGCGCTGGGTTCATTATTACAGCAGTTAATGATGCGCTGCATGATCATTACAGCTTAATGAGACTACTCCGTATTTGATAAACACACATACAGTATGAAAGGCTCCTTCTTCTTCCTCCCTTTCATGATATCATTGCATAATGGTATGTCTAAATGAGTAAATATACACATGTTCGGGATTTTCCCCACATTTGGAGTTTTCTATTTATGATCTCCATATTTATTCTTAGCACAAAACCATAGGAGTCTCCTAGCCAGTTGAATCGTACTATAATGTTTATATATAACTTCAATGGAGCTTTGTTTGTAATTAAACAATTTATTTATATGCAGTTGGTACAGCAAATGGCTCCAAAGTCCTTGCTATTTAATCCAAGAAACAGAGACGGAACAAGATATTGTTGGTTTGGCCTCGCCTTGGATATCTTAAAAAATGTGGTAGATGTTATTCAAGAACTGGACGTGTCTCGCGGTTTCACTTAACGCACTTTTGATTAAAACCACAGCTTATTCTGTGAGTCTAACGCAATCATCAACGCAGATTCCTGAATATGAACTGATCACATGAGAGGAATAAACTGGAGCTACTACAGTGAAGTGTCTGCATCACTAATGCTGGAGAGCTGCAGGATAAAGAGCCACTTCTGCCAGCTGCGGCCTCAGTTCGCCTCGTGTCGGCAGAGCTGTGAATATTTCAGAGGAAACGCACCGGTTTATCTGCGCTGTAAACCTCAGAGGGAATCTATCTGCCTCCTCAGATCAGAGTAGACCAGAGTCATGTTTGCGTGTTTGTATGTGTGCTGTTTACAAATGTGTGCCCATCTCTGACATCTCCAGCTACACGGATAGATACAGGGATCAGGATCATAATCTGAGGCAAAAAACTAGCAGCCTGCAACACGATGCTCCTCTGCAGACAGTGGGGGAAAATGTATTTAGATCCTCTCCTTTAGTGAAAGTAGCAATCCAAATATGTAAAATACATTATTCACAATATAAGTGAAGGTCAAGCATTCAACATACTACCTTAGTTCAGGAGTTTTCACAGAAAAATGTAGAAGTATGGCCTCTGTCAAAGTCAAATTATTGAATAATATCATTTATATAGGATAACTCGTTTAAAAACAGTTTAATATGGGTGTAATAGGGATGTAATAACAGTGTAATATGGGTATAGTAACAGTGTAATTAAGATGTTATATGGATGTTATTACATGGGTGTAATATGGCTCTTATGACAGTGTAATATGGGTGTAATAAAGGTGTGATAGGGTGTATTCATGTGTAGTATGGGTGTAATAACAATGTAGTATGGGTGTAATAACAATGTAGTATGGGTGTAATAACAAGGTAGTATGGGTGTATTGAATTGATTTATTTAAAACAAGGGACTGTGTGTACATTAATCAACATATTAAAAACATGTAAAAGTACTCGAATTAGCCAAAAGACTAGTTTTCACCGATAGTCCCTTTGCCAGATGGTGATAGTGATAGGCATCCTAAAAGCAAGAATTAAAATACCACAACATTGTTATACCAAAAAATAAATAAATAGACGACATCACTGATGTGTAATGTCGAAAAATGCTAACAACTAATTTGATATGTGTATTTATATTTGATTGCCCATTTAATGGTTAAGTATAGGTAAGGCAAGTTTATTTATATACTTTAGCAACTTTAAACAAAAGGCAATTCAAAGTGCTTTACAAAAATGAAAAACATTAAGGGCATTGGGAAATAGTGCAGCGGAATAACATTATCAAATGGTATTTTAAAAACAGTAATTAAAATGCAAAGAGAATAAAATAAACATAAAGCTAATGTAGAATAATACAGGTATAACACACATGAATAAAAGTTGCAGTGTAGTGTGAGATATTAATAGTTGAATTAAAAGCCGGTGCATAAATAAAATTCCTCATGCATTATGAAACATAGTAGTGCAGCAGGACTTATGCAGTTTGTGCTCTGTTCTGCAGGAGGCGGGCTGGCAGAGATCACGCTGACCTTCGACAGCGCCCGGGTGATGTACGGCTTCTGCAGCCTGAAGGAGCCTGCCGCCGCCTTGCCACGATACATCCTCATCAACTGGGTGAGTCCCGGGTCGGGGGGGGGGAGTGATGCAACGCCAGACACCTCAGGCCATACACACACACACACACACACACACACACACACACACACACACACACACACACACACACACGGACACCAAAATGTCATATTAGAGGCAAATATTGGAGTCATTAAGGATCACGGCATGTTTTTAATTACCAGTGTTTCTTTAGAAACACCGTGTCAACGACGGGTATGAACTATATCCAGATTGTCTTTACTACATCGAAACTCATTAGATTACTCTTTTTACCCAACTGTTTTTAGTAGTATTAGTTGTAGTAGTACAGTGTCATCTAATGCAATCTATTACAACATTTATTTTGTATTGATGCCTATAATTATTAGGGTTTTTGTTGCCACCGTCATAGAGGTCTTTATTCTTTGATATGTTTTAGCAGTAAGGTCATAGTTAGTGATGGTGTTGTATTGGTCTGCATTATAGTCAGAGGTGATTCAATTTTACTGTAACCCCAGTGTGTTTATTATTGTGAAGAATATATTTAGTTTACCACATATTTTTCCTCATACAGCTGCGGTTTTTATGTGTTTTTTAGGATCCCTGCTCAACTGCTCTTTCTGATGATTTTGAGTTTTTACTGATCAATATAGAGGGTCTCAGGTCAGAGGGTCATATTTTATAAAGACTGTAAAGCCATAAAGTGTGATATTTGTATCTTGATAAAACAAATTGACATGGCTGTACACTTGTTAAGTCTTGACCCTGCAAAACAACATGTGACGGTGATTTTGTTACAACTTGTTGAGGCTGTATTTCCTCAGGGGAGTTTTTCCCCCATCATACGGTTAATTCAGCATGTGTCAAAGATGACTCTCACTTCTCTCTGATCGGAAATTACATTTGTGCATCCGTGATGAAGTTAAGTGTCCACTTCAACCACTGAGTGCACTTTCTATTTGTAACACACTTTAGCCACAAGTTGAACATTATTATTCACTGATCTGTGTGGTTGTTAGCAGCATAACAAAAAGCTGTGGTGATGAGACTGTGTGGTTCTGGGGAATCAAACTTTAATATATTCTAAGTGAAAAACAAGCTGGAAATTAAACCTAACAAGCTTTGACAAAAAGAAAATATTTAATATAATGACTTTATAATACAATTTAAATGAGAAGAACCAACTAGTTGACCCTGTAATAGTAATAGCAATGTTTTTTTAAAATTAATAGTAGTAATTTCTTTATCTCCAGCCACCCAAGTATCCTATCATTTACGATTTTATACTACAATTTTGCAACACCATTTTTGTGATAATGTCCTAATTAGCTTCACTGGCAAGACTCGAAAATTGATATACTGTTTCTGATTATGTTTTTTTACTGATAAAATATTTTATTTCCTATTTGCATGATTTGTTGCTGCACTTACATTCTCTAAAAATCTGCAACAAACCGCGTAAAGGTGGACATTTTCACTTTTCAAAATGCAACAGAAAATACACCGATAGATATCACAGTACCAGAATGTCTTAAAGTCAGGCAAGCACATTCACGCTACTTCTCTTGCTTTCTCCTCTTCTATTAGACACACACACAGATGGATAAGGTGGTTAAATGTTGCTATTGAGAAATAAATTGCCATCAATTCACAGGAAATGAAGCCGTTTCTCTCTCTCTGCAATTATTGCTCGCTGCATTTGTATTGAATTGGTCTGAATGAGCCATGATTACTGAATTACATCCAGCCTATTATAATAATAAACTGTTTCATTAAGTGAACATGACCAAAGCTGAACTAAAGGCTCGAATGACAACAGGATAAAGAGAACATGTCCTTTAAACAATTGGCAGACAAAGAGGCAATGAAACTCGTCACTGTGATGGTACCGGTGCTGTTGAACTTCTTTTGTAATTTCTTAAGGCCATGCTCTCTCTTCTTTTTACATTTTAAGGTCGGAGATGACGTGGCGGATGCCAGGAAGTGTGCCTGTGCCAGCCACGTGGCCACCATCGCAAACTTCTTACAGGTGAGATCCTGACATTTTTTTTTAAGTAATCTGCCTCAGTATGTATTTTATTATCACATAAAGAATGTTTATATACCTTCTTTCTTTTTTTTTAATCAACGCTCTACAGCACAGTAAACCTGTGGGAGGATGTAATTAGTGTGTGTGTGTGTGTGTGTGTGTGTGTGTGTGTGTGTGTGTGTGTGTGTGTGTGTGTGTGTGTGTGTGTGTGTGTGTGTGTGTGTGTGTGTGTGTGTGTGATTATTTTAAGTGGCAGGCAGTTCTTGCTCCCACACAGCCTCAACTTAAAATGAGGCTTTTTCTAGGATAGTACATGCACCAACTGTATTTACTGACACTTCTATACACTACTTTATTGTGCCATAGGATTGAACAATACATAATAAAACACATTAGTTCATATTAATGTATGAAACATTTAATGTGCTAAAATCAAGTAAGCCATTTGCATTAAATAAGACCAAGACATGAAATTCAAGTTTATTAGTTAATTTATTGGCATAAGTAAAATGACCATAATCAGATCAAAGTTCTGAATGAAAAACATGTATATAATACTGTTGTAACATAAAAATGTATCTAAAAATACAATATAAATGAATAATTATCAACACAAAAGTATAAGACATAAGAGGTGAGGATGATTTAAGATCTAAGTGTCCAATTAGATGTTTACAATGTGTTCACTTTGCTATATGCCTTATTATAATACCTCATACACCACTTCCTTGTGTATTCTCATGTTTCTCTCTTTTTCTGTTTCTGCTAAAACACCTGAATCTCAATAATAAAGGTCCATCTTATCTTACTCATGAATGAAATGTGATCTCTCTGTCCAGGGGGTGGAGTTGACTGTGAACGCCAGCAGTCTGGAGGACATCGAGCCGTCGGCCATCGGGCAGAGGCTGACCAATGGGACGGCGGTGGTGGCGAGTCCCGTCCTGAGCCGCCTGAAGACCCGAGAGGAGGACAACAAAGACGTGGTATGGAGAGGAGACTCACACACATAGGAAGTTATTAGTAAACACTTCGAAATTCAAAGTGCTAAACCAAAAATGTGAAGAATTATTAAATAATCTTTGCTTCAAATGGCAACTTGGAGATATCTGTATTCAATATTTTCACCAAATGATTACCCCCTTGCCCTATTAAGTTCAGTCGGTTTAGCATTGTAACAGATACATTTTTGTTCTTTACTGCATTATATTTATTCTAACCTATTGTTCCCAAGTTATGCAAAACCATTAAATCACCACCATCAAATTAAACAACACATTTCACCCAAATACTACCTAACATATTTAATGTGTTTGCATACTTTGGGATCCTCAATGAAATGTTAAATGTTGTGCAACAGACAGAAAAGAGATCAACTAGAGCAAGGTGTATTTGTACCGAATGACGCAGTGAGCTGATTTATGGAATAAAACGTTAATTTAAAAGCAGACAGTTCATGCTGAGCAATTCATATAGATATAGAAATTGACATCATTCAGCGTTGACACACACTGTTCCCCTGCTGTGATTTTTATTTCTGAAACTGGTCCTCTGTCTGCACGTCCCCCCCGACGCAGGGCACAGTGTACGAGAAGACTAATGCAGAGGTGGAGATGAAGAAGATCAATAGGGAGGAGTTCTGGGAGCAAGCCAAGGTAAGTGTGCAAGAGGAAAGAAGCAGGAAGTGACACGGGAATATTGAGATGGATTCAAGATGGAAGAAGAAGAGGGAAGATTGAGGGAAGGGAATAAAGCATGGGTTAGACAAGGGGAGTGACTAGAAAATGATTCATTGGGGAAAAAAGCTAAAGTAAAAAAATTGCATTCACTTTATTTAGAGGTCAAACTCAGGGTGCTCCAAGTGTTGGTAATAATCTTACATCATTTCACAAGAAAACCTTTGTGCACTCGACTTTAGTACAAATCCAAAGGCCAATACAGTATACTGATAGATGTGAATAAATGACGGTTTGGTTTTTCATTTACCCATCAACCCTAATCTCTGTAAAGTAACTAAATACAATAAATACATGTAGTTGAGTCAAAGTAGACTATTTAAATCTGAATTGTAGTGGAGTAAATGTAGAAAGTAGCATAAAAGGGAAATACTCAAGTAAAGTACAGTCTCTCAAAATGGTACTTAAGTACATTACCTTCGTAGTTGTACTTAGTTACTTCCCACCTCTGGTTATCATTGATTATTGAAGAAGAAAACCTCTGATATCACTCTCATGAAGAGGAGAGTGGTTTCCGTTTTCTTCGTCTCACTCTTCCATAAAGCCGATGACTGTGTTGGGAGTACAGTAGAAGTGAAGAACAAAGTCAAACACTGCTACGTCCTCCAGCTGTGCTGCCTTCAGCATGTTCAGACTAAATATGAAAGGACAGCGTTGTTGTTGGGCTGCAGGGCGTTTCCTCCATCTGAACTTCACAGCGTCAGAACGTGTACATATCAAACACACAGGTCCAGTACCACAACTAAAGTAATCAAATACCAAATTCTGAACATTTTTGGTGTTGACAAAACAAGACATCTAGATTAGATTATTTGATTCAACTTTATTGTCAAAGCACAGAGTACAGCGAAATGCAGCTTGCGTCCAACCAGGAAGTGCAAAGAGTAGTAAAGTGCGTGAGTTTTCAATGAACTCACATAACAGAACAACGCTGTAGTGATGCACATAATGTAAGAATGAATACATTTATTTGTATAAGGTGCATATTTAGAAGACTATGCATATAAGGTGCGGGGTTTAGGCATATAGTTAAATATAGATTTAATAAATTGTAAATAAAGACATCAACAGACTAGATTGGCTTAACCAGACCACTAATATCGAGTGGGACCCCTCAAAAACACTTAATTAAATTCTAAAATAAAAGCATTCAAATTAATTCACTTTCATTTAATTTCAAGCCTTTATTTAATCAGATGAATCCCATTGAGATCATTGATCTCTTTTTCAAGGGATACCTGCTCAAGTAGTTCCACATGAAACATAGACAGAACAACAAGGTCATCAGTCCAATATCATTTACATAATTATCCACAGAAACAGGTACCAATAGCTTCCGATTGAGTAGCATCCAACCGAGCTTTAAAAACATTTAGTGGCACCAGATTGCTCAGCTTCCACTTATTGTAAGTTGCTTTGTATAAAAGCGTCAGCCAAATGAAATGTAAAGTCATCTCTTTGTCTGTGTTTGCTCTCCAGCGCGAGGAGGAGGTGAGGAAGGAGGAGGAGAAGATGAAGGTAGCAGAGGAGAGGCAGCGTTTTGACGAGGAGCGAATGGAGCTGGAGAGGAAAGAGCAGGAGAGCCGAGAGCTGAGATACCGCGAGAGGGAGCAGCAGATCGAGGAGCACCGGTGAGGAACTACTCTCCCTGAGAACATCTATTTCAGGAGTAGCACTGCAGAGGTCAAGAGCTACTTCCTTTATCAATTTGAAAATGGCTCAATAACTGTTGTGTTTAATTTGTTTAAAAAAGTACTGCAGAATTTTTCGCTTTTTACAACCTAATACTTCTACTACATTTTAGAGGCCAATTGTGTACATATTACTCCACTTTATTTATTTTACAGATTGATTGACTTGCTACTTTTCAAATTCAGATTATTGCACAGGGAAAATGTTTTAAAATATGATTATTTGGTTAAGATTTAACCATCCAACATTATATTTTGGTCACTAAAACCATGACAGAAATTCTAAATAATATTTCACAGTTCCATTTTCTTAAATGTGAAGATTTGCTGCTTTGCTTTCAAATATTTTATGAATCACTTCAATCATTATTGATGCAGTACTTTGACATTTGTATATTTACTGTGTGGAATTAGTATTTTTACTGAAGTAAAGAATCTGAATTATTTTTCCACCACAGTCCTGCAGAAGTCTTGCATGCTCATCAAAAAAATGTGCAAAAGGAGTTTAAATTGTATTAAAAGTCACATTTAGCACCATGAAGCTTTCCAGATTGATCGTAGGGAAACAGGACCCTGGTTCTGGTATTTAAATATCGGGTAATTTCGAGGTGTCAGGAAAGTGTAAAGTATTTTCTAATCTGTGTGTTTTTATCTGAGAACAGGAAGAAGCTGCTGGAGGAGGAAGAAGCCAAAGAGAGGTTGCAGAGCCAGGCAGCCATGGTACGTTCCTGTGTCTTTACATCTGGCACAAAGACTGCAATCAATATCAGACAAAGTCAGTGTTGAAAAAACTGTATAATTGTGACATTACAGGATATCTTGCTCATCCAACTTTTTTACAGTAATATACCCTTCTGTTTTACCACACGACTGCATTTACTTTATCCTGAGCTTATTCACACTTTGCCCATCAGAGCATCACTTCCTCTCCAAAAAGAACCATTGTACACACTTCTGGTTCTAATCACTCTGAGACACAAACATTTGATCTTTTTGTCAGACAGTGGGGTTTGTTTTTAAGGGTTTGATTATACTCCGACAGTGACACTCACTGTCGGAGTATACACACACTGTGTGGTTTACTTCCCTCATCTTGCATCAGCTGCTTGCTGGGTTGTTGCACAGCTCTGATATTCTTGCACTAATGTACATTTCCCCAAGAAATTGAAGTGACTGTTGTTTTGTATATATTGATTGTTGTGCTTTTATTTATGTCTTAATGTGTGCATATGTATACATGTGTCTGTTGATTGTGTGTATATAAGTATATACATATTTGTATACATATTTGTATATATATTTGTATTTTTTTGTATTCGGGATTGTGGGAAACGGTATTTCGATCTCTGTCTGTACACAAACTGAAAGATTGACAATAAAGTTGACTTTGAAAAAAAAAAAGAAGGAAAAAAAAAATATTTTGGCTAATCATATGAACATCTTAATATCTGTCCTTGTGTTGAGTTCATGGACCGTGGGAACTTTAGGCTTTGTAACTTATGGAAGAGGGGAAGAAAGCAGCAGGGGTCAGGCAGTTTTCAGTCAGCACTATCAGACCTTTTTTATCAAACCAAAATTATTTAGCTGTTATTACTGCAGCTACAGCAGAGGAAGCTCATCTGCTCATTACAGGCAACAACTGCAATGACAGCTTTCCTAGATTGTTCTTTAAATCTTCATGTGTGTTCCTCTTCTCTGCAGGCAGCAAAAGCGAGCCTCGACGACCTCAACCTGGACAAGAAGGAGACTGAGGCGGAGGTGAGTCAAAAGTGGCTCTGTCATTTTTTGGAGTAACTTTACTCTTATTTGAAAATTCTGAGTAAAGATATTGAACTTTCCTGCAGGATTTGGCTTGACATGAATGGAACAGGGAACACTGTAGTCCAGATTGCTGAATATTGTGTGTATTATATAATGTGTGTTTCCAGGAGGCAAAGGCCATCATCGCTCAGCGCTCAGGAAACCCTCGGGAGTTTTTCAAGCAGAAGGAGAGAGCCATGACCATCAGCGTCGACACCTCACCCGTCTCCATCCACAGGAGCGGTAAGCACCAAAACTCACCTAACACATTTTCTCCTAGGTTCAATCTATTGTGGTTTAAACTGGAACAATAAAAACATTTGCAGTATTACCAGAATCCAATATTGTTCAATGGTTAAACAGGGGTGAACGAGTAGAAAGAAGGGAAACTAACTGTAAATGTACTCTATAAGTCTTAGGCTGTTATCCATTATGCTGTATTAAATATTATTTTGAAACCAGCCGAAAACAACAATGATCAACTTGTTTAAAACCTTAAAATAATGAAAGATGTGCTTATATCTCTTATATATTATAACGTTTTTTTAATATGCCAGTCTAATGAAAATAATCTTTTCTGTAAGACAAGATTATTTGTTTTCTACTCATACATTCAAACAGTAAGATACTGACACTAAAAAGTATTTATAAAAGTAAACACCTGCCTACAAGATCACTTATTCATTTATTCAAATACTGTTGTACAGTTATTTCAAAATGTACTTGACTATTTCCATTTAATGCTAATTTATACTTTTAATCCACTATATTTAAGATGGATTATTTTTACTTTTTACTACATTGGTTTGATAACACACCTGAAGGGGGAGACAGTGAGGGAGGCAGTGGGTGTGAGGGTTCATGACGTTTGAATTATCACATGTTCAACCTTTCACTGGTCACCTTCAAAATCACCTCAGCTGCGACTTCCTTCCGACCAGACCTTTACTTTTTCATTTTAAGATATGCACATTTGCCACAAAAAAAAGAAAAACTAATGACAAAGAGGAAAGAGTTTAAATGTAACATGCGGTATCCCAACATTGAAGAGACAACAGTATAAATCCATCATCTCTTCTCACACTTTGATGGATGCTGTTGAGCCTTGTGACACACTTGAGCTTCTTTAATGTGATTTTACTTTTGAGTTAATTTGTTCCATGTGGTTTGCGTGCAGCTTTAGTGTTTGCATGACCCTGCTTCAAACAGAGACAACATCTCAGTGGCAAGGATGTCATTTCCACTTTTATGATATTTTTTTGCCCACGCTTTTACAGTTTCATGATGATTTTCAAACTAAAAACCTTCCACTGTGTCCTCTGAGAGTTTCTCAAACGGTTGACACTTACGTTGACAGTAATAAGTCCAAAATACACTATTATTCATCCTCAAGCTTTACATTAATTCGATATACTAAAAGTGTTGCTGGACTTTTGCTTCTACTTGCGCCTTTGAGGTAAATAAAAAAGTAAACCATGGCAAACTTGAACAATCGGCAAGGCGTGGACCCATCAATATGCAAGGGCATATTCCTCATAAATGTATTTTGAGGTAAATAACAATACAATAATTGTAGTAATTAGTGTTATTAATGTAATTAGATGTTTTTAATACGCCCACTTCTTCCCTGATTTGTGGAGACTTTGGTCTACTTTCTTCCCATTTTTGCAGGGGATAAATACAATTACATTTGTTTTTTGAGTCATAGCTAATATGTTAGATCTGATGTTCAATCAAAGATAAGATAGTAAAAGCCCAAGAACACCTATATATATTGTTCAGTATCATTTCACTGGCAGTGAAACCAAATATTATATTAAGTACAATAGGGTTTGCCCATTTATCATAAAGTCCTAATATTGCGACAAACTAAATCCAGGTCAATATCTTTTTGTTATTTTAATGCATATAAGCAGGAGATTCACGTCTTTCAAACACCAAGCATTAGTTTCTAAAGACACACACAAAGTTATCTCCTTTTTTCTTGACATAATGAATTTGCTGGTTTAAATAATCAGGAATGGAAGTTAAACTCGATTTCTGCGTAACTGTATACTGTCTACAGTCGGTTTGAATAAAGCCACACTAACGTCTTCTCTTTCTTTCTCTCTTTCTTTTTTTTCCTTGAGGGATTTCTCTCCTCTCCACTCCGCATTTGTGTTCACCATCCTCATTCCCTATCATTTATTTCACCCACTTCTTTTATTTATCAACCACTCCTCCACTCTCTTTTTATCCACCTTTTCCTCGTCTATATTTCTCTTTCTTATCCACGGAACTCTCTGCCTTTCCAACAATCCTTTCTGCTTTTTACTCGACTCTCTCTTCTTCTACTCTCGCTGTCTTTCTTGCTTTTTTGTCTGTCTTGTCTTCCTGTCCTGTCAATCTTCCCCACATCTCTCTGTTCCCGGCGTCGCTCCGTGTTTTTGTTACTTGTCTGTGTTGAATCTTCGTTGTCCGGGGGTTTTTGTGGCTGTTTGTCGCCACGACCACCAGGCCGCTTGGACAGCCCCTTCTTGAGGCAGCAGCACAGTCCCAGCAGCCCCAGTCCGAGCCCCCTCCCCCGGGGCACGTCGCCCCTCCGCACCCCGCCACACTCACGGACACAGCCCACCGCCGCCGGTAGGTACAGCACATAACCGATAAACAGCAGAAGAAGAAGACAGATGGTCCGATATCCCCTCCCCAATCACAAAACCCTTTCCACAGATACAAAGACTCATAAAACAAAGATGAAATGAGAATGAAACTGCATGTGGATATTGAAAATGTGACCGGTTTAATAATCCCCGCGTACATTTGTATAAACACCAATATACCAGTGTTTTTCTGTTTTTGACCTCATGAAAAGTAATTATCCTAAAATAACCTTGATTTTTTTATTATGCTATCCATCTAAACTATCTTTTACTTTTCAAGCCCCTTAAAATAATGAGATGAAAATATTCCTAAATGAGGCACAGAATGATTTGCCTCATTTAAAGCCAGAATGATGTTGTATCTAATTTAAGTAAACCATCATTTGATCTTTTCATGCACCAACACAATTGCAAAAACTCAAATCACTCAAGTAAACTTCGAAATACTGTTCCAAGTACTGTAACATTTCCACTTTCAATTCGGGACAAGAAAGAATTCTGGAAAATCCCTTTAAATGGAAAATGTAACTGCTTTACTCCACACTTCAACAGTAACATTGAATAAAGCTCAAACAGATGTGATAATTGATGTTATCCGCTAGCTAGGATCAATTTATGCTTCATTATTGACCGTTCTTTGTATAACTCTACGTAGCATAACAAAACGACTCCTATTGGAAAGACAGCAGCGATGAAATGACGCCTCTCAGACAAACACAGTTTTAAGTCCACATGCATTTTCATCTTTCCAGTTTCAAAAAAGTTCATTTTTGTAACCCACTCCACTTAGCACATTCACTCTTTCACCCCGACACATCTGCAAACCAACCCCTAGAATCCCCCTCTCCACTCCCCGCTGAACTCACCCCAAAACCCCTCCCTCTGCCCCCAACACCAAACAACCTCCATCGCCCCCTGACCTCTTTACGTCGTAATTTGAAGTAGCTGGTTCTCAGATTAGTAATGATCTATGTTGAAGGATAAGTCTGGTGATGATTAAAAATGTTCTTCTTGTCAGCAAATCCTATAAATAGATCCAAAACGGACACTGAATGCATCTACTAACAATTATTTGTGTGTGTATAAAGCCTGATATACCCACTAAAACACAACATTAGATAACACTGAATTTTTCTTTTAAATGAACAATACATTTAAATTACCCCAGCATTTAACTGAAAATCGTATTCCTAAGGGTTGATGTCTTCAGTATATATCAATGGGAGTGGATCTGAGAAACACAGACAGGAAGTCATAGTATTTTGAGATGTTTTTTATTGTTGACAATAAGAACAAATAAAATAAAGCCAGCATTATCCTTCAAGTGCAGATATTTCAGCACCTATCAACTTCCCTGTTGTACAAAATGAATCTCAAGTTAAATAAGGTTTGATTTAAACAAGAATACCTCTTTTCACTTGTATTTTAGAATCAGTACTGTGGTGGAACACCTACAGTACATTAAAAACCAACCGATATGGAGCCATGAACCTTTTTTAGGGTTATAATAAGCTAAAACGCTAACCTGCTCACTAGCATTTCACTCACCGATAGTAGACAATTAAATATCCTTTATGGCTGCAAACCATAAAGCTGTTTGTCGGTTTGTGTTCTAGATGTTGAGTGTGTCCTCCCTTCAGTCTTCATCCTTTAGATGTCGTCCAGTCAGCCGCTGATGTCAAATTATTTTTTGTAAAATGTTTTTCCTGATGTTTTATGTTTTTTATTGAAGAAAGTTCTACTTCTCACAGGGATAAAGAGCTGTTACTTTAACTTCAAAATCTCACTGGTTTTCTCTCACCTCCTTCCTCTTCTGATCCTCAATCTCACGCCTCTGATCCTGGATCTGCATCACCTCCCTGCACACACACACATAAACACTGCTGCTTTTAATCCTGACCGACTGACCCAAATGTGAGTTTGTGTGTGTGTGTGTGTGTGTGTGTGACGTCGTCCAGCCGTCCGTCAGTCGTCACCGCTGTTTATTGGCCTTTGACTGAATATGGATCTTTGCCCTTTGACCTCAATGTAGTGGTCAATGTGTTAAAAGAACATAATGGTGATTCTGAATGTTTTAGCCTATTAACTGCATCAGTAAGTATCAATCATTACTGCCAATCATTTAAAATTCTGCCTTGTTTTCAAGAAACCTTTTGGCATCCAAGTCCTAACTTTACAAATGATGCTTTATAAAAGTGAAAGCCAGCTGATATTTAAAAACAAGACATGTTTTTTGAATATTCTTAGCATTACAGTGTTTGTTGTTTCGCAGAAAAATACCACTCAATGTCCTAAATTCCTTAAATATTTCTCACAACAGCAATCGAGGCAACTATTTTGTATTCGTTTTTAATGGTCAGTTTTACAAAAAAATATATTCTCACAAATCTATCGTTCACCTTTTATATCTCAATTGGGGGAAGAAATCTAAGAGATCTCACAAGCTAAACCAAAAACAAACAAATGCGTTGCATAATTGAACAAAATGTTATTTTTTTAAAACATGAAATACTTAGGACAATGAACAGCAATAAGTTAGCTACTGGGCAAAAGCATGCAGAGCACCCTTATGATCTGGTGTGTGTGTGTGTGTGTGTGTGTGTGTGTGTGTGTGTGTGTGTGTGTGTGTGTGTGTGTGTGTGTGTGTGTGTGTGTGTGTGTGTGTGTGTGTGTGTGTGTGAGCAGTAGGTGTTGTATTGGTAGATATTATGCTGGGTGGGCAAAGAACCAGTTCATCCCTGTCCTTAATGACACCTTTCAAAGACAGCTCTGGAACTACAATCCTTCCTTTTAATCTGAAAGTGTGTTTAATTTTCTTCTACTGGTGAAGAAGATCACTGTTTTTTTTTTAAACACTTCTTCCAGCAATTAGCCTGGTTCCCTCAGAGCCTTCAGAGGCTTTTGACCGTAAATTGAATTGGAGAACCCACCCAAGCAAGACCCCGCTGAGCATGTTGTGATTCATCGCTTTTTCAGGGTCACACATCTCAGTCAGCCATGTTGTTTCTACTCGAAGAGACACTGTTGTTCTTCATCTGTGGTTTGTTGTGTTCATGTCTTCTGGGAAATCTTCAGACGTCTGACTCCAACAAGCATGAAATCACCCGAGCGACATTTTCATTGTGGCAGTTATTCTCCTGACTGTGTTGATGTTTGTCATAATGAGTTGTATTCCTGGATGTGGCAACAGCATTGTGACTCACCTGTGTCCCACTGCAGTGATGCCATTATAATGAATGCTCAGAGGATATTTGATGGTTGTTTCATGACATGCTCCATGATAGTGTTGTGTCTCGATTATGGTACCAGGAGTATGTCACTGTCCTATCTACTCGTATCTATTAACTTCAACTTTACTGGTTACTCTCAGTTTACTTCTTCTTCTGTCAATATGACATGTCCAGTGTGTCCTCTAAACAATGTCACCTGGGCTTTTTGCACAAATGTCTTGCAAAATCTCAATGTTTTGACACAAATATGATGAACTTTATGAAGAGTTTAGAGTCATGCTAGTGGCTCTGCATGACAACACAAAGCAATTAGCACAACGTTTCTAACATGCTGATGTTGTGCAGCTATAATGTTAGGCATTGCTCATTGGCAATAAGCAGAAAGTACAACAGAAGCTGATGGAAATCTGCAGGAATGAGATAATATACCAATGTATTGGAAAAAAAATCCATAGCATTACTAAAGTTATGCTCCTCAAACATTACATAGTGCCAAAGATAGTTTGGGGAGTTATGCTTCTTTCACTTCTCCGTACAAATTCAACTTTTAAAGAGATAAAGTATTAAACAAAGATGACAATGTTAGAAACTCAGATTGTCTCAGTGACCATATCTGTGTGTTTGCTGGTTGTGTTACAGCCTAAGTGATGTAATGTTGTTGTTTCGTGCACTGTTGTATGTGTTGAAGTAACACCGGATGTGACTGGAGGTACAAATATTAACCTTATTTGAATTAGGATTATATCAGAAAACAAAAATCGGAAGACTATTTTAAATCAGCTTAATGTTCCTTTGTTCCCAAATTCTGGCATATTTTGACAAAAAATAATATAAAACACAGCTCCAGTTGAACATCCTGTGTTACAGTAGATTAACACATCTGGTCTTATGCGTGTTATTTTATAGGAGGGTTTTGCCGGTGACTTTTTGCTCCGTACTCTTTCGATGTTGTTGTGCCATTCTGTTCCTTTAGGCGATTTTGACGATGAAGGAAGCAGAGATCTCAACATGGCCGCCGTGTCACCCATCCCTAAAATAGTCACTACTTCCATCATAGAAGACTTCACCAGGGAGGATGAGGACGGCAGAGACGAGTGGGGTGAGAGTGAACCTGAAAACAATGTTGAAATATATCAATCAATTAATGGAAATGTCCTCGTAATCGCAATGTGGACTTGGAGAACATTCAAAATGCAGGAAGCGGAATATTTGTTAAAGGCCTAGTATGTGTTAATATACAATTATAGATAAAGCATTAGGACATTTTATAGATATTTCAACTTATACATTATATTGTACAGAGTTAACAAAACACATTTGTTTGGTACAAATCCTCTTAAAATCAAACCATAATCAAAGGCTTTGTTTTAATTTTGATTATTTTTTAAGGGTACATTCACAACAAAATATGTATATCACTGAGATCTTGTGGTATCCATTTATGCAGATAGATTTTGTTTTATCAGTCCACATTTTGATTTTGATTTCTCTTGCACACTGAAAAAACTGAAACATCGACAAATTACAGATAATGATATTGTTGAAAGCAATCATATTCAGTTTAAATAAAAAAGATCAGTTTCAACTTACAATTATCCTTACCTTACCCATTATTGCTTTCAACTGACCTTATACAATTATGTGTAATCAGTTGAGATAAAACATTTAATTAAAGTCAACATTAAAAAAAAATTATTGCAATTTCTGTCTCCACAACTATAAACATCATTTTATAATAACATGGATTAAGTTTTGGTTTTGGGTGATCCACAAAAACAAATCGAATTCTTTAGGAATACTGATGAGGCTATTGGGACAAAGCATGCAGACCCCCTTTATTATGTGAAAAAAAAGGAATCGCTGCTTAAGTTGTGTTTCGTTTTCTCCACCAGGTTCGGAGCCAAAGAAGGATCAGAAACCCCCGGCCCAGGACTCGGCCCCCACGAAGCCCGTGCAGAGCGTGGCCCCGCAGACCCGCGACTCCTCCGGCTTCTCTGCCTGGGAGTCCGGGACAGACCGCCTGGTCAACCTGTGGGACAGCAGCGCCGACGCCCCCGAGTCCCAGAACTCCCAGTCCTCCAATCTGGTGGACCTGATAGGCGACGCTGCTATCCCGCCCGGCAACAGCGCCAAGCCTCAGCCCCTCCTCAGCTTCGATGACATGATTGAGGGGTCTATGTGCTCGGCCACCGGCCCCGAGGACGACCCCACCAGCCTTGTGGACGTGATGGCCGAGGACCAGATGACCCTGAGCTACCAGCATGCATTGCAGCATGCATCTGGGGAGAAGAAGGAGCTGCTGATGACCAACGGGGAGATGAAGGAGGGGACTCAGGTCAGACAGGTTAATAATGCTTCTGATGAGCTTTAAGTAAACAGGTTTTTCTGTTTTATTTTTCATATTAATAGTTTTGTTTAATGTTTTTCTTGTCTGTTGGTTCTTAAAGGCAAGTGAGGGCTATTTCAGCCAATCACAGGAGGAACAATTTGGCCAATCGGAGTCCTCGGCTAAACCTGCGCCTGTCTTTTATAACAAGCCACCAGGTGAGATACTTGTCTAAAAACATGTATAAAATATATTGTGTCTTTATGCCTTTTAGTTTATAAAACCTTAACACAACTCAATTTGTAACTGTTCTCCTGATGCATACACACAACTCTGCTGCTCTCAATTAAGATTGCTTTTAGGATACAGTCAGTCATACTATACATACTATACATAGGGCATAAGGCCCTCACATTCCTGGTAGATTTTATTGTAAAAAAAATCTACAAGGAAAAGAAGGTAGTGGTAATAATACATTATTATTATTATTATTATTATTATTATTATTATACACCATTAATATCAATCAAGGTTAGCAGTCCAACACTCCATATCAACAAAATCACACCAACAAATATTAATATCATACCATATTTTTGTGCGTTTGTTGCTCAGAGATTGACATTACGTGCTGGGACGCAGATCCAGTGGGCGACGAAGACAGCGACTAACCGGCCAATCAGAAGCCACCACCGGACCAAGAGGAAGTAGAAAGTGCGCTTTAAGAAGAAAAATAGTTTTTTTCTAAAAAACAAAATACAAACAAACAAACAAAAAAAAATAATATTAATAACAAATCTTGCATCGAAACTACTTCTGTATTATCTTTTAGAGGAAAACAAAACAGTAGCCACCGGGAAAAAAATACGGGGTTTGCGTTAAATATGGTTTGAAGGCTCAGTTTTTTTTTCCGGTGTTTGTTATTTTATTTATTTGTTTTTTCTTTTGCAATGCAGATGTAATAGCTGGGAGCGGGAGGGGGACTTTTGTTTGTGTAAATGATTTATTACACATTAACGTAGCGCACTGCTGCATATTAGAGACAATGAAGCCCAGTATGTGGCAGGCAGCCGGCACACCTAGTCTGTAGTGCTTTAATAACACCCTATAAAACTGCTGCCATGTATACCTTCACTCTCTGTTTCTTTTCTTACCTCTTTTTCACCTCTATTCTTCCTTCCTTCCTCTGTTAATATCCAAAAACATTCACTTCTGCAAGTCAGTTAATCTTGTATTTAGCTCTCACTCAATTGGAAAAAAGTGAAATATTTTATTTATTCTGGTCTATCTAAACGTAAATGAAATTCATGATAAAAGTTAACTGTGGCTATGTATTGGTCTTTCTTTCGCTCCTTTTGTATGATTTTAAGACTGAATTCAAGATTAAATGGCTTGTAAATCTGCTTGCTTTTTCCAGTGCACTTTTATTTCTTCTGTGGATGAACAGCTGCTTCTAAATCAGCCCTCCCCTCTGGTTCCATACAAATCCTACTTTTTACCCCAATTATATATTAAAACAAGCAAATGAAATAATATTTGTTGCATCAAATCTAGATGAATATACTGTAGATATTTTTCCAAGTGTTTTGTAGGAGGCTTTAAGGTAATGAAAACAAAGCCATCTTCAGATAGTGCAAAGTCGAAAAAAATTAAGCTTTTGTATGAATCTTCTAACATTTCTCCAAAGGCTAAAAATTATAAAGTTTTCCACCAAGCCCTTCATAATGTGGGCATTTCTACACAACAGTGGGCACAGTTTTCGTCTTCCAAGATGTGGAGGTTTTAAGCAGGACGCCCTTTTATTTTAGAGCATTCATTTTTATTTAAAATATTTCGGGCATACAGTATTTAGGCCTTACTGTCCCACAAACAGCTGGAAGCAAATTTGGGCCGCACTATGTTTGCTTATACTATTTTCTGACTTTGTTTTAATCTGCATGGAGAACCAGATGTCCACATTTTCTCATGATCTTCTGCTTCTAATTTGACAATTGTAACGGTTTCCTAAGTACTTAATGTATTGGAAGTGAAGTTAAAGTTAAAGGCGTCTGTAACATTTCAACAACTTTAAAGTAAGAAGCAATGCCACCATGTCATACCACTCAGTGTTTTATTCATCCAGGTAACGAGAAATACAGTATAGCACATGAACAGGCTTCAGTCATCTGTGAATTAGCAAATTCTGCAAATGAAGATCTAAATCTAAATCTAAAAAGCCAGAAATGGAGAGATCCAGAGGGCAAAGGAGGAGGAAATTGGAATTAAGTCGATACATTTGGAAACATAAAAGGAATCCTGCGATGAAAAGGCAAAAGCTACTCATCCTGTGCATTCAACACACAGGAATAGGAAAAAAAAGAGAACATTTCAGTTTTATGGGGAAAAATAAATAAAAAGTTTCAAACATTTAAAAAAGTTCCTGACATCTGTTTCTCCTAGCAGTTTAAAACTAAACGAGATTCTTGAATCCTCTCTGCCCCACGTCTGCTGCCCGTCTGCTTTTGTTCTGTGCCAATGCAAAAAACTATCATATGTATTTTTATTTTTTATTGATGCAATATTTACTTGCCCTGGAAACTGGAGTGAGAGGCGGGGCCGAGACGGGAGGTGTGTGTGTTTTTAATACCTGTCAAAAAAGTGCTAGAATTGATTTTCAGGACCTTTTTGAATATTAGCAACAACAGTGTTAGTCTTTTTTTGCTGTAAATTCCTGTAGAAAATAAAAACTCCTAGGCAATAATAACCTCGTTTTTGTGTGTGTGTGTTTGTCTGTGTTCAACTGCCTAAAGAAAGTTTGTTTGAAGATCTTTTAATTTTTTGACTTTATTAGTTAATAAATAGGCAAGTTTGGTGGTATGGTTTTTATATCAAGGGAATACTTAATCAACTTCTACAGTAAATAACTAACTTTTAAACATTGTACATCTAGATGGCCCCATTTCATTACTTTTCCACTTCTGAGAGGACGCTTGTCGCTTCCTGTCCTCTTCTCTGATCTGGTTTACTCCGGTCTTACTAAACATGTTATAATTATGTCATATGTAAAGCTGTAATCTCTGTGTTCTGACGGCTGATGTTTAAAAAATTCCTTTAGGGTTCAATTCTCCCAAACATAAATTCAGACTGTTCCTTTCTCACATCAAAGTCTAACCTCAGGAAGGTCAAAGTCTGACATTGTAAATTCCACATCCAGAGCTGACCTATTATCCTGTCCCTTCTCCTTCACGTTTTCATTCTCTGCTAGTAACTGCTGTTTTTGCAGCCTATGAATATTACTGAGATGCTCCCCACTATGTACTGCTGCAAGTGTCCTTCCTAACATATCTGCCTTCTCTTTATCTGTCGCTGCCAGCCTCTCTCCATCAACCAAATGTTTGGCATATCTGAAGCTAATATTCTCGCAGGATTCGTGCTGTTCAGAGTTTGCATCCTTGTGGTTGATTGACTTATTGTAAGCTGCAGAGGTGGAATAAGTACTCAGACCTTGTACTTGAGTAAAAGTAGAAATACTCAGATCTGGTACTTGAGTACAAGTAGAAGTACCAGAGTGTAGGAATACTCTGTTACAGTAAAAGTCCTGCATTCAAGATGTTACCGAAGCACAAAAGTATTGGCACATAAATATATATTTAAAGTAACAAAAGTAAAAGTACTCAATATGCAGATCGACCCATTTCAGAATAATATATATAATATTTTTTGATTATAATCATTGATGCATTCATGTGTTTATCAGATTTAAAAACTGGAATTATTTGTATTGTGTTAATCATTTCTACACACTGTGATTTTACTATTTATATGTAAGTTAAAGTGCTGAATACTTTGTCCTTAAGTTGTCGAATGATACTTGTATTTGTAAAAGTAAAAGTAGCCTACCTGAAAAACTTAATATTCTGAAAAATGTATTTTATATTTTAAAATCATAAATCTGAATCCATTAATGCTCAAATGTTGCCTCTGATAAATAAGAAGCAAGTTTACCTTTATATACTGCAGGGTAGCTTGTAAATTTCTCATAGGGGCCAATGAAGCTCTATAATTATACATGAACAATTATTTGATTATAAGTAAAAAGTAAATACTCAAGTAAATGACCTAAAAAAAAATCAGTAACTGAGCAAATGTACTTAGTTACTATCCACCACCACTGCTTTAGGATATAAACAGCTGTTATGAAATTGTTCAGTAGGTGTCATGAAGTAAAAACCATTGCACAGTTTTCAGAATAATATACTGAAATCAAACAGCTTCTTAAGATAAGCACAAAATAAAATGTCCACAAAGGGAAACAGCATGCGTCCCGTTCATTCCTTAAGAAGAGGGCACTGTGTTGATTTACAATGGCATAACGGGTGCCATAAAACAAACTGATCATCTTTGAATAGTGGCATTAATAATATTTTTGAACTTACTGGAATGTATTCAACAGCAGTAAGAAAGCTCACTGCAGCATCAGTGTTACATCTCAGGAGCTGCAGCGCTCTCTAGTGGACAGTTGTGACACCAGAGAGAGAAATGGCAGTACACAGCTACAGGGAAATGACCTTCAAAAGAGATATAGAACATATCTATAAATGATGAGACACCAGTCCTAAACATATCATTTCTGGAGACAATGCTTTAATTACAGTTACAGTGGAACAGCCTAAAAAACACCCAACTGCACTAAAGTCACAGCAAGAAAAAAAGACTAGGGGAGACTGCACCATCCCATTTAGGAAAAGCGCATTCAGCCAGGCTGTCTTTTGCTTCCATGCATCCCATCAATGGAATTCAATACCACAACCAATAAGAGAATCCTCATCCAACTACTCATTCAAGCACAGTATTAAAAAGTGGCTCATTGAAAACCAACAGTGTCAGCACTGATGTGTGGGTGTTGGTGTGTGTATGAGTGCGTATTGTAAATGTTTTATTTATTATCATGACTTGCTCTTATCTATACTCAGTGATGTCATCTATTGTAAATATGTGCAATGGTATAACAATGTTGTGGTATTTTTATTATTGCTTTTAGGATGTCTATCACCATCTGGCAAAGGGACTATCGATGAAAACTAGCCTTTTGGCTAATTCGAGTACTTTTACATGTTTTTAATATGTCGATTAATGTAAATTGTCCCTTGTTTTAAATCAATCAATTCAATGCTATCGCCAGAGTTGGGAGGGTTACTTTGTAAATTTAATCAGTTACTGATTACTGAATACATGGCTCTGAAAGTAATCAGAATACAGTCACAATTTTTCTGATAAATGAGAGAAAAGTGATTGAGTCCTATGTTCCTATCACCAAAAAGTACAATTTCCGTCTAAACTAAAGCTAAGTTTACAGGACTATAATTCAGTATTCTTTTAGTTAAATAATTGTCTGACTATTTGTGATGTACGACAGCCACCTTTTTTTATTTATTTTTTATTTATTTATTCTACTAAAATCCTACAAAAACAAAACGTATAATTCATACACACAAATGAACAAAATTAGTAGAAGCGGGAGGGCTGAAGCATAGCTTATGGGGAGTAGCCCTCCCGTGCATCATCATGAGCATCAATATAATAATAATGGCATTTATTTCATCAAAACGTATAGAAATTAAGGAGTACAAAGAAACAAAGAAACCAATGAAAACTGGAAAAAAACTAATAAATAAAACAAAATTTAGGGACAAGAAA